GGGATGCGGCCCTGGGATGCGGCCTTGGGCCAGGGCATGAAGGTGCTGCTGTCCCGTCTTGTCCTGTCCCTTCCGCAGCCAGCCAGGGTCACCCGTGCACACCTTCATCCCTTTCTGCGCATCTTCATCAACTCTGTGCTCATCTTCTCCCACTCTTCATTCCCAACCCCCTTTCACTCACCATCATCCCTGTGCTCACCGCCATCCCCTTCCACATATTTTCCTTGTCCTCTGCGCACTGTAATGCCGCACCACACCTCTTCATCCTCCTCTTCCTTCCCATCCTGACATCTTCATTCCCCTCCAAACACCTTCATCCCTCTCATCCTCACACGCACACAAACACACACACACTCAGTGCCCTGCATCCCACCTGGAGATTCCCTGTTTCTCCCAGACAACATCTCACGGTGCCCAGGTTGGGGATTTCAGCCCACACTGTTGGGATTTCTCAAGGGAATTCAGCCAGGATCGAGGCCATGGTCACTTCCTCCGAGTGAGCTGATGGGTGGTAATGTGCTAAGCCACAGCAAGCAGATCACATACAAGTTCCTGGCCATGACCCAGCCTGACCAGCAGGAACTGCAGCCCCAAAAGGGACAAAACCCCCAGTCCCCCTGGCCACTGGGCCAGCACATGCCATAGGCCTGTGTCACAGTACCCAAAACTCCCAGAGATAAATCAGGGTGAGGAGTCTTCCTGGCACCCTGCTTGGAGAAGGGATGTTCTTTGCATCCCATTCCTTCTAGAAACATATTTTTCTAATTTTCATCATAAGCTTGGTTGTATTCAAGCGTTTTGGGACAAGACAGCCAATGCTTCAGTCCATGAAGTGACAGGCTCTGAAGCATCCAGCGCATTCAGCAATTGTGTGTGATTCATAAAGCCATATCACATTCTTCCACCCTTGGCCTGCTGCTAACTTGTAAGAAATCTGGACCAAAAACTGCAACAAAATGGCTGTGATTCTCAAGGGCTGTTCAGAGCCTCGTTACTCATCCCTTACTTGGGCAAAAATGACACTGAGTGCTCCTGGAGATGACAGCTTTAATTGAGTTCAATAGGAGTTTAGGCTGAGTAAGGCATGAGCAAACAAGTGTGCATTAGCCCATGAATAAAAAGCCAGATCCACAAATGTTTAGGAACACATATAAAACTGAGCAGGGGAGTGCTGAGGGGGTCACTGCTGCTCTGGCCTTGCTATTTGAGCAGGGGTCTGGCTACAGCATCCAGCACAATTGACAGTGATGCTGGGACGAGCTTGTTCAGGAGTAGAAAGATTCGAGGCTGGCTCAGTGGCTTGTTTCCCATTCTGCTTCTTAATTTTTATTTATTTTCCTCCTTCAGAAGACCATAGTCCTCGTTTTTGCTATTTTTTTGTCCACTGGTGGGAACAGCAACTTCCTTTCTCAAATTATAATATAAAAGAGCTGCAAGCTGCAACGCCATAAATAATATTTTCGTATGGCCAGAACATCCAAGTCTAGGCAAGACACCAAGAACAGCTACAACATTGTAAAACTCCAACACTTCTCCAGAATGGATTCACTAATTAAAAAATGACTCCTTTTAAAAAGCAGTTGAAAAATATTGGCTTTCCCATTGCTGCCTGTCGCTTGCTGCATTGAGAAGGAGCTCATCCTGCAAAGCCACAGCTGAGCTAACCCGCAATGAGTCTGCCTTTCCCTCTAAAAAATGTTACCAAAATAAATGCAAGGGGAGAGGGAGGGAAGAGAAGAACACCTCGTCACAATCACTTCTTTAATTAATTAAAGTAGCACCACTTCAAAGCTGGAGAGAGATCCCCCAGGGCTGGGGCCAAGGCAGCTTGCTGGGAACCAAACTGCTCCAGCCCTTCCATTGCTGGACAAGGAGTTTCCCAGTGCTGCTCTCCCCTCCCACACGCCCCTGGATGTACCAGCCCTTCCCTCCTCAGGCTGCCTGCCCAGTGGGGCATTTTCCTGCTGGAACCCATGGAAATATCTGTCAGCCCCCCCAAGAGAGCAGGGCTCAGAACTGGGTGCATGGAGCCCCCAAATCCCAGGGGGTCTGTGGAAGAGGGAGAAGCCAGCAGTTGGAGGAGCCCCCACGTCCACCTTCCTGCTCAGCTCTGGATCAGCATCTTTCCACTCATCAGCTTGGGATGGGGATGAACCACATCTCCATGCCACCAGCACTACAGTGACACTGGTCCTGGCTGGGACACTGGTCCTG